CGTCTGAAGACGTCCCAGCAGGAGACTCCAGGGGACATCTGGAAATGATGTCACACAGCTGCCGGTGGCTGCTAAACACCCTGTGCACGGGGACAGCCCACATGGCAAAGGTGAGCAGCCCAAGGTGTCGCTGGTGCCAAGACTACAGGGAAAATGTCTCACTGTGAACCTTGGTGGACACAGGGGGACACGCACTGTCCTTCCATACCAAAGGCACAGCTCCAAGGAGGCAAGGGGTGGAGAGCAGGGCGGGAGACCACCCGCACCACCAGGCGGACCAATAACTGTTCTGTTCATCGCCCTCGCACGGCCAAGCAAACGCACATCCGTTTCTATAATTTAGAATATCATTTTTAAATGGTTTACGGGAGAAGTTCTCCCAAGTACATTTTCTCTGATGGCCATTGTGAGACAGATGCAGGAGGAAGGCAGGTGTCCTCTCTCTCCCTCCTCGTGGCAGCGACTGCCACTGGTTTCTGGAGCCTCCCACATTCTTATCTTCCAGTTAGCCTTCCCCTTCTCATTCCTCACTGAGCTGCTCCAACGATTTTCACTGACCCCTACTCTCTGCTCAGCTCCACTCTACAACTGGGGCATAGCATGGAGCAAGACATGCCAAAGCTCACATTTAACGAGAGGGGACACAGGCAGGCAGCAAATAATAACAATGCAAAATAATTCCAGGTCAGCAGGTGCCATGAAGGAAAATAAAACAGGGTGCATTCGCCTGTTTTCTATGGCTACAATGAAATACCTGCAGCTGAGTACTTTATAAAGAAAAGAGGTTTTTAGCTTGCAGTTTTGGAGGCTGGAAATTCCAAACAACATGGCACTGACTTTGATTTGGGGCCCCTGACTGTGTCATGTCATGGTGGGTGGCACCTGGCAGAAGCACATGCGAGAGGAAGAGATGACACGGAAGCACCGGGATGGGTCACTCTCCAGGGAACTACTGGGGTCCCACTGAACAACACTGATGCCTCCCAGGGGCAGGCCCCCTGTCCTCACTACTTCCTGTCGGGCTGCACCCCTGAGGACCCCACCCCTGAACATCCCCACACCAGGAACAAGCTTCCAAGACCTGAACTGTAGGGGAGAACCCACCCCACCTACAGCACAGGGTCCGGGAGGGAACAGGTGGGTGGGTTGGGACTGGGCAGTCAGGGAAGGCTCTCAGGAGGCGACATTTGAATGGGGACCAGAAAATGATGCCAGGGACTTCAGGCTGAGAAAGAGCCCCGTGAAGGTCCCCAGGCCGGGGCGCGCGTGGCCTCTCTAACGAGCAAGAAAGTGGGGGAGCTGGAGGAGAGCCGAAGACTCCCGAGACACTGGGGCTGGCACGCAGGACGCGCGGCCGCAGGGCGGGAAGCCACTCTTCTGCTGTCCCAGGGGCTCACACTGCTGCTGGGTGAGGCGTGCACCCAGGAGGCCAGCGAGAGGCGGAGGTGGAGGCTTGGCCGGGTGGCAAGGGGTGACGAGATGCGGCAAGCTCCCGGAGGGGCAGCGTTTCAGAACTGAGAGGCCTCCGGGTAGCTCCTTCCACGGGTCCATCTCCAGACGAAACGGAAGCCTAAGAGGTAAGTGCGCTCCCCCCAGTCACAGGCCTGATTGCAGCCCACGCCCATGCTTCCTGGGGGCTTCGCGACCACACCTCTGCCCTTACCCAGCCGCCCCAGCTGTGATGGCAACTTGGAAGACAGGCAGGGAAGGAGCCCTCTGAAGGTGGTCCTAGCCAGGTTCAAAATAAAAGACCAAACCCAAGGGGCCTCCCTGGCTCTCTGCAGCATGGGACACCCCAACTGCTGTGGTTTCCCTCTGAGACGCCCCCTTCCCGGCTCCGGGTCCTGCTCCAGCCCCCTCTCCCTCCCCAGCTCCTCCCCAGTCTCATGACCCGCCCACCATCCTGCCATCTCACTGTGTCTTCTCGGCTCACCCTCAGAGGAGACCAAGTGCAGCCTCCTCAACGGTCCATCCCCCACTCTGCCTTCGCCCTGCGTTTCCTCTGGAGAGCCCCACTTCCGCCCACCCACTGCCTCGGTGGACATGGACACATGACCTCTGCCCCCCCCATCAGCCTCATCCAACTGCCTGTCACTGGGGCAGAGCAGAGGGGCCTAGCAGACCACTGCTGGTGGCTGGGAGAAGACGTTCCAGTGGACAGACACCTGCAGGTCCCCTTGCCCTCTTGGGGAGCCCGAATGCCAGGGGCCACCTCATGGAGCATTAGGAAGGCCAACACAGAAGGTGAGAACGTGGGTCCCAAGGAAAGCACTTGAACCCTGAACCCACCCAGGAGCCAAGCGTAGTGGGGCCCTTGTGACAGCCGGTAACTTTCCTGTTGGCTTAGCTCCATGTGAACTGGCTTTCCTGCCACATGTAGGAGGAAGGGGCCTTTTGCATGAGATCCCTCCTGTCTCCTTAGCTCCCTCGCTCAGCCCATTAAACCCCAGTGACTCCAAATTAGCCATCGACATCCTGGGCAGCACTGCAGCGCCCAGAGTCAAGTTACCCACCTGCTAGATGTCTCCTCCCAGGTGCCACCCGGACACCAGGAATGAGACTTGTACAAAGGGGAATCCGGCATCTCTGCTTCTACCTTCCCAATATGCTCTTCTCCATGTTCTTGTGTATCCTAGAAAAAGCACCACCCACCACCCAGACTCTCCAGACAGACAGCTAGGGTGTCCTCGACGGTCTTGCCAGGTAACCCCAGCAGAGCTAAGGCCCCGACTGACACTTTCTGACTATGTGGCCTTGGGTAGACTAACGAACCCCTCTGAGTCATGAATTGCCACGCAGACTCTCCAGTGTTGAATGAGAAAATCGAACACACGTTGGTCTGTTCCACTCCCGTCACAGATGTCCAGGCCATCACTAAATTCTAGCTCACTGCCACTACCCAGCTCAGAGCCTCACCCTCTCCCCGCCATCATCACCAGATGTTTCTATCTCCATTCTCACCCCCACTCAATCTGTCCTCCCCACTCTTGCCAGACTGAAGGTTCTGCTCAGCCTGATCACACATGCCACTCCCCACTCCTGCAGAAGGTACTCATTGGGGACGCCCTGCCCCTCTGCTGCCCCACCACGCCCCAGCCTCCAAGTGCTCCTGTGGCTGCTCCTGGGCCACCTGGGACGTGCACTGGGCCATCCAGCCCGCACCGCCCTCGCTTCTGCTCTGTGTGCCGGGGAGAGCGCATCCCTAAGAAGCCCAAGAAAACAGACTGGCTACAGAAGCCCATGGGCAGACGCAAACCCCATCTACCTGTGGTCTCAGAGCAGAGGGAGACCCACAAAGGAAGGGAAAGAGGCAGGAGGGCAGGGTACTGTAGATGGAGAACAGCAGAGACAGGAGAGAGAGGAAGAGCAGGTCAGGGAAACTTTGATATAGGGAAATCTGAAATAGGAGGCTTCCCTAAACAAGCAGAAAACTTGGAGCCACAAAGAAAAATGACACCAATTTAACATCATAAAAATTAAATAGTTCTGCACCATAAAAGGTACAAGAGGTAAATTGAAGACATAGAAACAAGATGCCTGATTTACTAACAAGAGGTCAGAATGCAGAAAGAGCCTCACAAATTCATGAAATTCAACAGAAAAATAGACAAATGATTTGACCAAACAATTAGAGAAAGTATAAATTGATTCAAGGTTTTTTAAAAAGAGTAAACTTGGAAGACTCTCAGCCTTTAAAATGCACATGACTGATATGGCATAGTCTCCAAGATCTAGATGAAGCTTCTAAAAGCTTCATTGAAAGAGGGGAAAAAAAATGAAAGATCCTTTTCCCCCCTGTAGGTACATGGATTCTCTCTGAAAGAATAAACAAATTCTGGCAAAATTAATTGTATCCCCAAAGGAAAACAGAGGGCTGGTGAACAGGAGAGGGGGGAGATGTTACCTTTCATGAACTTTCAGTCTTGTACCTTTAAAATATACTATCTCCAAACAAGTACTAAACTAAATAAGCTAATTAATTAAATTTCTTTTTCTGCACAATCTCTAAGACATCAATAAATAAAGAGAACTCTGCTTAAATAATAGTTTAAATGTGCATTCTCTTCAACCAGCCAATTTCACTGCTAGGAACAATTTCTACCTGGAAAGACTCTCTGCATGCACACAGATCAATAATGATACAAAGACAGGGTTGGAAACAATCTAAGAGTCCGTGGACAAGGAATGTTTAAATAAATTATAATGAATCCATACTATGAAATACTATGTTGCCATTAAAAAGAATGAATGAAAACATCTATTACTGATACTGAAAGACTTCCAAGTTATATTGTTAAATTGAAAAAGCAAACCACAGGGCGTTATTATATATGTCCCACATTTATATATGTTTAAAAGTATATATTCAAAGTATATATCCACTGTATTCCAGTTGGTCCCACAGTTATAACTGAAGATAGGATTGCAAGTTGAAGGCCAAGGCAATTTAGTGAGACCCTATGTCAAAATAAAATTTAAAAATAGGGCTGGGGTGTAGTTCAGTGGTAGAGCACCCCTGGGTTCAATCCCCAGCACTATGCAATAAAATAAAATAAAGAATTGAGTCATGAGGTCAACCCTTCTTCCGGCAGCAGAGCTGATGGTATCTCTAAGTTGTTGGTTTTCTTTTTTTGTTCTTAAAGAAAAACTGCATGAAGACACCATTCCTTCCCTCCAGTCAGGCAGTTTAGAAAGACAGTGCTTCCAAAGGGTGGGCCAGAAGCTGCCCACCGGCAACCTGCGGCCGGGACCAGCCTGCGCACACAATTCAGTTACCCTGTACGTTCTTTAGAATGTTGAGTTAGTTGACAGATTTAAAAATATGGAACTTTTTTCCATAAAAAATTTCGCAGTTTCTCCAAAACTCTGAGCAGGGAACACTGAGCGTGGAGCCCAGAGGGCAGGCCCTTGAGCTGCGTGGGTGGGTGGGAGGTCCTGCGGGGACCCTCGGCACCGCCCTCCACTACCTACTGGCGGAGGGGTACCCCACAGAACTCTACCTCCTTTGGCTGCCGGTTGGGTCGGTTCCAGTTCAGCCCATTCTGTGTTCCACAACCCAGACGCAGAACTCACGCCCCTCTGACGGCTGGGCCTCCGGTTGCCAGAGCACTCCCAGTGCGCGAGCCTGCAACACAGAGAGATGGATTTGGGGTACTCTGAGACCTTGGATTTAGTTTCAAAATGCCAAGAAGGCTTCTTTCTGTGGGGTCGTTGTTTCTGGAAGGCAGGGAGAAGTCCTGAGTTCAGGGACCCCCGTGTGGAACCCGAAGGCCAGTAGAGCAAGTGCCCAGTCAAAGGTCCTGGCCTCAAGGGCAAGCTGGGCAGATTCCTTGACCTCTCCCGAGTCTCAGTCTCCTCGCCCCCTAAAAGTCACAGGGCTGTCCTGAGACTGAATCAAGACGCTGTAGCCGAAAGTGCTTTTCAGCACCTTACGGGTACAAGATGGACGGACGAGCACAGCAGAGGAGCCCTCTGAAGAAGTGATGGGGCCACGGCTGGCCTCCCAGTTAGGGTGGATGAAGAGCCCTGTCCCGGGCCTTCAGCTCTCCGCTGGCTGCGGTGAGCACAGCTGTCCAGAGCTCCAGTGGAGGCCGGGGTCGGAGGCCGGGCAGCACTGGCTGCCGGCTCTACCGGGAAGGGGCGCAGGGATGCGGTGAGATTGGCTGGCCCGAGGTCTCGGTGTCCTCCCTGGACAGATCCTGCACACTCACACCACCTCCCTACCTCACAGCGGGGGGGGGGGGTCGGAAGACCCGCTGTTGGAGCACTGTGCAAAACGGAGGGAAGGTACCATGACAAAATGCAGCCTTTCACGGCCGTGAGCGGTGCCACCGCCCGCTGCGTGGTCACTGGGAGCCGATCCCTCGGACGCTCCGGACATCCTCCCAGCCCTCCAGCCCCCGTTCGCACCCCACGCGCCTTAGGCCGAGCGACCCCCGACCCCCAACCCACCGAATCTTCCACGAGCAGCTCTGGGGGGCGGAGGCGTTCACCCCAGCTCTGGGCGACTCCAGGACGCTCCCGCCGCCAAGGCTCGGGACACTGCGCCCCTGGTCCCCTTCCAGAGAAGGGGGCTTACCTGTCCTCGCGGATCCCACCGAGGGCCGCGGCCGCCTCGTCCCACGCCCGATCCCGGGGCGAAGCGCGGAGCCCCCTGCCCCGGGGGGCGCGGCCCTCCTCCGCCGAGTCCCGGGCGCGCACCGGCTGTCCCCTCCCGGAGGACTTGTGGGGGCCCGGGGGCGCCGGGGAAACGGCGGGCTGCACCCGCGGGTGGGTGCGCCTGGGCGGCCCCTGGCCGAGGGAGGGGCGCCCCGGGCCCCACAAAGAGCTGCAGCGCCCCCGGGCCCGGCGCGGCGGCCGGGGACAGCCTCCGCGGGGACCCTCGCCCGCTCGGCGCGCTCCCCGCGGCGTCCCCGCGGCCCTGGTCCGGCCCGCGCTCTCCCCGGGCCCGGCCGCCGCTCCCTCCCGGGCCGCGCGGGACGCGGGTCTCGGGTTTCAGCCCCGCCCGCCGCCCCACGCGGCCCGCCGCCCGGAACTTGGCGGCCGCCCGCGCCCCACGGCGCCCGCCGCCCTTTGTCTCCGCGCCCGCTCGGCTCCTCGCCCCGTCCCCGCCCGCCCCGGCGCCGCGGCCATTCGGACTCCTCCGGGCCGGCTGTCGCCCGTCCCCGTGCCCCGTCCCCGGGCGTCGCGGGCCGCTCACCTTCCACGCCGACCAGTCGGTGCGGCCCGCCCGGCGCTGGCGGGACCCGGGGACACGGCGCAGGGCCGCCGCCGGCCAGTCCGGCAGGAGGTGGGAGGGGGCGGTGGTGTAAACCGAGTTACGACGCGGCCGCCTCCCCCCGGACCCGAGGCCTGCTCCCAGGCCACCAGGGCGCCTCCCCCCGTCCCCTGCCGCGCCCCGCTTTTCTGCCTGTCCCCAGCCTCCGGCGTCCCCGACGCATCGGTCTGGGGGGTGGGGGGAGTTGAAGCCAGCCGTGCAGCTGCTGAGAAAAGAGAGAACAGACCGAAACCCTGGAAACGGCAGCAGAACAGTCAGCTAGGAAGTTCCAGAGCCCAGCCCTCAACTCCAGCAGAAAAGGGTTGCCTGCTCTGGGCAGGGCTTCAACTCCCCCGGATCCGTCGGCTTTAATGAACGCATTAATTATGCTCTTGTCTACAGAGTGATACCATCCGTTGGAGCGGCTTCCTTGTTATTATTGGGCCACTGAGGCACCATTTAGAACAATAATTTACTCTCTAGCACCTGCCAAACACCCAGACTGCTTAAGGGACAAATGGGATAATGAGGAGGAAAAAAGGAAACGGATGCCTTACTATTCCCGTGGGATAGATGCTTTATTTGGTCAGAAGCTGGAGCTCAGCTTCTTTTAAAGTCTAGGTCACCCAGCAAGCCAGATGCTTGAACCGGCTCAAAGCAGGCTGTTCTCAAGAGTATCTCAGACATTTGTTCTGAAATCCCTGGTTATTGATTTAATTTACACTGACTCAGTCACCAGCTCAGCTCTGGGGGAGTTCTTTAGCCTTCTTGAGTCTCACCTTAATCATCTATAAAATGGGGACACTCATATGGCCTATTGGTGGGGTTGAAAAGGTTAAATGAGATAGCACAAGTAAATCTCCCAGTGTCATGGAGTCTGAGGACTAAGTCCTTTTGAAAGTGGGAATTCAAAGGAGATCAGAAACTGTATGCCACAGACCAGCACTGAGGAAATGAGAATCCAAGGCAAACAAGCACGGCTCTTCCAGCTCCACCTCCCTGCTAGATGCGAAAGATGTCCTCCACACTCAGCAGTCTTCCCAGCTTACTCTATTTCGTTTTAAATCCTTCAGTGGAAAGCATATTTTTTCCTCCTGCTCATTATCAAATATATTATTAATCACAAAGATGTTTTACCCCAGAGCTCCTAGCCTCAGAACTCACCATGCATTCAGGGATAGAAACTGCTGCCAAAGAACTCATGTTTCCATCGCTCTCTTAAGATTGTTTCTTTTTTTCTTCTAGAGCTAATATCAAGCTATGAGCAGCATTGGGTTAGATGCAAATAGAAAAATTGTTGTCAAAGTGTTTCACTATATGTGTAGGTGACTATATATAAGCAACTATTGTGTGAAAAAACACAATACTGATTTTATGCAAGAATATAATTTTTTTTTCAAAACAAGAAATTCTCCTCCCCCCATCTTTTCTTTCTTTTTTCTTTTTCTTTTTTGGTACCAGGGAATGAACCCAGGGGCATTTAACCACTGAGCACATCCCCAGCCCTTTTTATATTCTATTTAGAGACAGGGTCTTGCTAAGTTGCTATAGGGCCTTGCTAAATTGCTGAGGCTGGCTTTGAACTTTCAATTCTCCTGCCTCAGCCTCCAGATCTGCTGGGATTACAGGCTTGCGTCACCACACCCAGCTCCCAAATTGGTTTTATAAGCCATTCTTTTGAAAGATCCTCCAAAGACGTCTTCATTAGGATAATAACAGGCCTCGTCCAACTGAATCCCAAGTGTGTGTTGAAGAATCCACCTTTGATGAGACTTCTTTTATATAAAATGTCACTTCAGTCCATCAGGCCACAAAAACTAGCACGAGTACCCCCAATCCACTCCCCAGGCCAAGGCATCCTCCCTGACCCCATGGCAGCTCCAACGTGCCCTCCCCAGAGAAGTCTTCCCTGAGCCGTATGAGAGAGGCTCCTTAACACCCTATCCCCCCACCTCGGCTCCCTGTGCTTTTTCTTTATAAAATGGCTCCCAATTTAGAATCTAGTCCTGTTTGTTTCTGAGCATTGGCTTGCAGGAGGCGTCCTCTGGTAAACTGCGGGACAGCAGGTCCTCCACGGAGTTCACACAGAGCTTTCCCTCTCGCCCGGGCAGAGCCAGGGCCCAGCCTCACAAAACTTTTAAAATAAATGATGACAAAAATAAATAAATGCTATCTTCAGGAACCTCTGATCCATAAGCTGCAGGACATGGAAGAATCGCCTGAGATTTCTCAGATCAACACCACAGGCACATGCAACAGAGAGACGTTTAATAAGTTGGACTCCATCATCAAGAAAGTGAAAAGAGAAACCCCCAGAAAAACCCCCTGCCCTGGGGGTGGTTTGTGAAGCGGGTCCCAGGCCCCATTCACAGGGCGATGCTATTCCACATCTGTTCCCTCTGCCGCAGGGAGCACACCCTCAAATTTCCTTTGGGAAACCACTGCTTCCTCTGGGGTCAGCCTCGGGGTTTGCACAATGTGGGCCTCTCCCCAGCTCCAGAGTTGGGCTCTGCAGGCCAGCATCTCCTGTGTTCAGCCGCCGTGGTGGTTCAGGTTAGGAGGCAGCCTCCAGACTCTCTGGGCAGAGGGAAGCCTCTGGGACATTTTGCTGAGGACCCTGGACAGCTGGACGTCTTGTCTTGGTGGCTGTAAATGAAGCCTATGGCTCTAGCTTTGGGCAGCCACTGTTGGACTACAAGGAGAAGCCAGCCCGAGCAAAGCCCAGACTTGCAGAGCACAGAAAAGGAGGGCAAGCAGAACCACTCTGCCCCGGGGTGTGTGCAGTTGAGCACCGTTTCTCTAACAAACCTGGCCGCTCAGGGTCAGGGCCCAGAACACTGCATCACACCCCCGGGGCCCACGGCTGGTGCAGATGCCAGGGACCCCACGTTTGACCTTCCAGCGTGATTCTTTCTTCTTTCATCATATCCTTTATGTAAGCAGTTTTCTGTTCTGTCTTGCTTCCAGAAAATGCTGGAGGAATCCTACAAAGGAAGACACGGACCCAATGTGGCTGATGAAATAGCTCTATCGAACTGAGACCCAGGCACGAGGAAGAGCGGGCAAACGCACCTCTCGGGGAGCTCCTCCCTGCTTTAGGATTTGTACCTCTTACCTGGAATCATAGCTGTACCTAACTCACTGGATGCCGGTGAAGACAGACCCACACAGTGCAGGGAAACAGCATACACAGCAGGCATCCAATAAATGCAGGTGCCCCTGTGCACACGTGGGCACACATGAACACACGTACGGGAGGTAGACTGTGTACTAGCTGCTACAGGGATCAAATGATTCCAGAACTACAAGGCATTTGGAATAGGGACTGGCACTTAGGGCCACATCAGTGTTAAGTAACAAAGCGGGGGAGGCAGGGCAGGGAGATGGGGTCCTGCTGAATTCGTGAGAGGTAGATATTTGGCAAGAAATAGATTTGAATACTTCCAAGTCTAGTAGAGAAACTGAATAAGGCTGTTAAAAATCACTAATGGAGATCACTTTTGGAAGCCACTCAAGTTTCTGCTCTGCAGCCCCTCCAGCTCCTCCTGAGTCCGACCTGTGTGTGCAATGCACACTTCTGGGAGCCGGCAGGAGCGCCCGGGGAGCAGGAGTGGACTCACTGAAAGAGCTCTGAGCTTTCCCCCAAAGCTGGTTCAGCCAGTGGGAAAGGATGGCCTCTGGGGTATTTCCTTAGTTTTAAAGTAAATGAGACTTCTCTCTTACTATCTTTATTAGTAATGTGGAAGCACTTATTTTCTAAATTGCACATTAATATTCATTAATATTATTTACAAATAGGGCTGCGCATAGAGCTCAGTGGTAGAGTGCTTGTTTAGTATGTATGAGACCCAAGATTTGACCCCTCGAACTTCCGCCCCACACAATTTACAAATAACTTGCTTCACAATTCCTTTCTTTATAATTAAAGGCAAACTAAGCCAGTTCCTTTCCCAAATATGTCAAACAAATTAAGAAATTTTTCTAGAATAAAAAAAAATATCTCTAGGTAGTTAACATTTCTAAAAACCAATGAAATAAGAGCTAGGTTGACATGAAAAGTTGTCCATGATATAGTAAATGAAAAAGCTCCCCAAAATGTAAAAATAGTACAACTGCACTTTTATAAAGTGTGTGTGCACCTGTGCATGTCCTGTTGTTGTTTTGTTTTGTGTTGCTTTGTTTTTTGTGGTACTGGGGATGGAATCCCGGGTCCTTAAACATCCACTAGTGGAAAAAATGGAGACTGAGACGGAGATGAATGATGGGGGACAGAGATCTGGTTGGTCACGTTGTTTGCAGTGTCGTCTATTGGTCATCCAGGGAGGGATGATGGAAACAGGTATAAGACAGATGTAAATGCGGGGTCTTCAGGGGACCTGAGTCGTGGCTCAGCGGTAGAGCACTTGCCTGGCATGTGTGAGGCCCTGGGTTTGATCCTCAGCACCACATATAAGTAAATAAAGATCTATTGACAACTAAAAAATAGTAAAAAAGAAAAGAAAAACAAACAAACAAACTGTGGGCTCTTCAGCGTACGGATTGCCTCTAGGTTACTGGACTTGGTGAGGTTATTCATGACCTCGACAAGAGGGTTTTGCAGAGTACAAGGACCAAAGCCCAATTGGAGCGAGCTTAATAGTGATGAAAGGAGAGAAACTGGATGAGCACAGAAAGCGTTTGAGGAGTTTTAAAGTAGTACGACTCCATTTTCATAAAGTGTGTGTGCACCTGTGCAAGATCCCGGGTATGGCCTGGCGTGGAAGGGGGCGCCAAGGGCAGGTTTTCCTCTCTTCCTGCCCCTGGAAATGGAAGCCAGGGCCCCATGCATGCGAGAACGGTGCTGCTGCACGGAGCCACAGCCCTGGGCCTTGTTTTCTTCTTACAGAGAAGACAACAGCATGTTTCTGCACTGATAGTAACAATCACGTAGAAAGGATGGAGGAGAGAGAGGGGAAACTGCTGGCAGGCGGCCAGACTGTGCCTGGTGCGGGGTTGGCTGAGGCAGGGCAGGGACAGTCATCTGGGTGCTGGGGGGGCTGCCCTGGGCACTGGGCTGTGGACATTCCAGGGCTTCCATCTTCCTCAGGAAGTAGGAAGTCAGATAAAAAGCCAACGCTGAATAAGAGCTGGGAGTTAGAAATGAAGCTGTGAAAGCCCCCTCCAGGAGGGCAGGTGACCACTGTGGCAGAGGGAGTGGGTGCCCGCCGGGGCTGCACACCTGCTGTGGCGGGAACTTAAAGTTGGGGCTGGGGATTATTAGCTCAGCGGCAGAGCACTTGCCAACAGGAGTGAGGCCCTGGGTTCCATCCCCAGCACACAAACAAAAAGATTTTAAAGTGGGCCTGTTAGGACGGCTGAGAGAGAGAGAGAGAGAGAGAGAGAGAATATTTCATCAAATAATCAATTACAAGATACCGCTGATAGCAAGAAGCAGCATAATTTCAGAGATGATAAATGTGAAAAAATATTTCAAACACTG